GTTTCGCTATGTTGCTCAGGCTAGCCTCGAACTCTTGGCCTCTCGAGTCGCTGTCCACCGCCCCCAGCTTCAATCTACATTTTAACAAGATCTCTAGCGGATTCACCTGCTCCTTCCAGTTTGAGAAGCACAGAATGGAGAGATGCTAGGATGGAGAGATGCTTCGGCAGAGGGCGCTGGAGGGCTCCAGACTAAGACAGAGGCCGGCGCTCCTGACAAATGACAAGCCCCAGATGGGCACACGACAATTATAGAAAATATGGATAAGCAAGGAGAAGAAAATAAGTCCTCCATAGTCACACCATTGAAGATTAACGTTACTTCTTATCTCCTATGCACTTATATATGCTTAAAATGTTTTCATTTAAAAAGTCTATTTCCTTGAAAATAAAGTGTTGTTGAAATGTATAAAGTACTACTTCCACTCTCCAGGAAAATCAGCTAACAGGGTACTTTTTCTGACACATATTTAGTTATGTATAGTACAAATATTTAAGAATTTTTACACGGTATAGGGCAGGCATGGTGGCTTAGGCCTGTAATCAGCACTTTGGGAGGTGGAGGTGGGAAGATCACTTGACCTTTAGGCTAGGAGTTTGAAACCAGCCTGGGTAACATAGCGAGACCCTGTCTCGACAAAAAATAATAATAAATTAGCTGGCCATGGTGGTGCACGCCTGTAGTCCCAGTTACTCAGGAGGCTAAGGTGGAAGGATCCCTTGAGCCCAGGAGTTCAAGGCTGTAGTGAGCTGTGATCCCACTGCACTCCAGCCTGGGCAACAGAGGGAGACCTTGTCAATCAATCAATCAATCAATAATAAATAATAAATAGAAATTTACATAATATGAGACATTTTTAAAAACAAATGATTTCATAGTGAACATACTGTTCAGCAGCATTTCTCTTAATCTCTCATTCAGGAAGCTTTCATGGAAGTCCTTCCACACCACCCTGTTTCTCACAGGGTGGTTTTGTGGCTCAAATAAAAGCGTGGATAACTCCAATAACTCCTACGTGGTACTTCCATTTTGCAGATGAAGAATTGAGGCTCAGAGAAGCTCACTGCACCATACCACTGAGCAAACAGCTGTGTGAACCCCAGCTCAAAGATGATCCCCTCTGAAAGCTCTTACTTTGAACCTACAGAAAATCAAGTGGTGTTGCATTGATCAACTCTCTGCATGCTTTGAAGAATGTAAAATGAGTTTCTTAGAACAAATCTCTACCTGCACTAGAGATTGAGCATCTCAGAGCCACCTCCTCTGTATAGCAGTCTCTGCTACTCTCCTATCTTCACACCAGTCCTGTGGTTGTTCCTCTGGTTATCTGTCTCTCTGCTAGCCTGCAAGCTCCTCGAGGACAGGGACTACATTTTCTTTCATCTCCAGGTCCCCAGTGCCTAACAGAGGGCCTAGATTTCTGGTGATAATGGTTGAATAGACACCACCCTCAGACACTGCTGGGAAGTGATTTCTGCCTCTTAGACAGCAGCTCTCCTGTGCATACAAATCACCCAGGGATCTTGTTAAAATGGTTCTGATTAGGTTTGGAGCTAGATTGTGATTCTGCGTTTCTTATTAGGCTCCCAGATGGTGCCAATGCTGCTGGTCAACCAACTGCACCAAGTAGCGAGGCTCTAAATAAGTGTTGCCCTCAGTGCGCTCAAGTGCCTTGCAACATACTTGCCTCCCTAACAAGGCTCTGTCAGGGAGAAGCCGTACACGTCTTGTCTTTGTTCCTGCCACAGTGCCCAATACTATAACCCACTCATGTCCTTGTTACAGATGTTTGATTGAATAAACTATGGTTTAATTAAAAAAACAAACTTCAGACTTACTAACAGCAATGGAAGCTAGCTGCCTGAACTGGGTCAGTGTGGAGGGGAAGGAATATGCCACCCACATTTATTTAAAAAATCAATTGAAACAAACCTCAAAGATGGCTTATGAGCAAAAGATGATTCCTTGGTTCTGGGAGAATCTTCAAATGTCCCATCACCTTTAAGGGCCAGAAGTCACAACTTAAGAGCCTTTAGGAGCATGGGAGGGAATTTAAAAGTAGGAAGCCCCTGCTGTGAGACAGTGGGAATGGGTGGGGTCTGTGGTGACCTGGGGAGTGAATGCCTTCAATTGCCTTCTCTCTATAGCCTACCTCAGTCTCCCCCCTCCCTCCTCTTTCTACTGTGTCCATTTCTCTGCCTCTTCTTTGTTCTGCTCAGTTAAATGAGCACATGCTCTGAGCCAGGCCCAGATCTAGGCAGCAGTCACCTGGATGCCTAAGATAAGATCCCTGCACACCTTGGGTTCTAGCTTTTTGCAAAAATCTCAGTTCTAACTCTCTGTCCTGAGCTGGCCCACAGCCTTGTTTCCTTTCCTTGTTATGAGTGATGTTATGGATTGAATTGTGACCCCTAAAAAGATATGTTCAAGTCTTAAGCCCTGGAACCTGTGAATGTGATCTTATTTGGAAATAAAATGATTGCAGATGTAATCAAATTAAGATGAGGTCATTAGTGTGGGCCCTAATCCAGTATGACTAGTGTCCTTATAAGAAGAGACAGAGACACAGGGAGAACACCATGTGACACTGGAGGCAGAAACTGGAGTGATACACCTACAGGCCAGGAACACCAAGGGTTGCCGGCAACACCAGAAGCTAAGAGAAAGGCATGGAACATATTCTGCCCTAGAGCTCTCAGAGGAAGTGTAGCCCTGTGGACGCTTGATTTTGGACTTCTGGCTTCCAGATCTGTGAGAAAATAAATTTTTGTTTTAAGCCACACAGTTTATAATCATTTTTTATGGCAGCCCTAGGCTGATACAGGCAGTAAGACCTAAGCTGTTTTATCACTAGCTTCAATATTCTACCTTCTACTTCCAAGGCAGATTCAAGTGTCTGCTCCATCCCTTTCACTAAATTTAAGTTCCTTTTTCATTTTTGGCCCTTAGGGATTTACTGTTATTCCTTGAGAGTTCAACTATGCTTTAATTTAATAACTTTTCTTCTATAGCTGTATTAAAAGAGGCCTAATTTACAAACCATAAAATTCACCCATTTTCAATGTACAGTTCAGTTTTTAGTAAATCTGTAGAGTTGTACGATCATCACCACAAAGCAGTTTTAAAACATTTCTACCACCTCGAAAAGTTCCCTCGTGCCTACAGTCATTCCCACTCCCATGCCCACGCCCAGCTCCAATCACCTAATGATTTACTTTCTGTCAGTATAATTTTGCCTTTTCTGGACATTTCATGTAACTGCAAGCATACAATATGTGGTCTTTGGGTCTGGCTTCATTCACTTAGCATGTTTTTTGAGATTTATCCATGTTGTAGTGTATATCAATTTGTCCCTTTTTTATTGCTAAGTAGTATTTCATAATATGGAAAAATGTTCAATAGCATTAGTCATTAGGAAAATGCAAGTGACATTAATACTATACACCCACTAAGGGGTGTATAGGATGGCTGTAGTAAAAAAAAACCTGACAATAACAAGTGTTTATGGGAATGTAGAATGGCACAGCTAAATGGTACATGTGGAAAACACTTAGTCAATGTCTTAAAACGTTAACACATGCTTCCCAGATGACCTAGCAATTCTGCTCTTAGGTATCTACTCAAGAGACATAAAACATGTCCACACCAAGACTGAGACACAAATATTTACAGCAGCATTATTCGTAATATTCCCAAGTTGGAAACAACTCAAGTCTATTAACTGGTGAATGGATAATGTGGCATATCCGTACAATGAAATATTATTCTCAATAAAAGAATTAAGTTCTGACACACAGAAGTTCCTTGAGGACAGGAGCTTTTATTTGCTTTGTCTACTGAATGACTAGTACCTGGCATTTTGCAGGTCTTCATTTAAGTATATGTTGAATGAACAAGTGAATAAACAATATAAATCACTTCATTTAGCTGTTTATTTTTTTAAAAGATTTTATTATTTAAAAAATGGCCTTATTTACAGTCATAAAATATGCTCATGAGAATACTTAAAAGAATACAAAAATAATCTATATTAACAAGTTTGCTTCACATACACACTACTAAATCATCCATCAAACTACTGCAAGTTTTGGAAGCACCATATATTGTTAGAGCTTCTATAAGAATCAAAGGAGATTATGGCATTATCTAAGAAAATGATCTGACCAACATCCACTATAAACCTTAGCTACAGGCTTTTAGTTTTAAAAAGGCAATAGATTCTTCCAGTTGATTTAAAGCCTGGAAATGGGGTGGTAGTCCCTTAATTAAAGACTCCTGAATGTCACAAGGCACATAAGGATGCAAAATGCTCATTAGAAGCTTGGGAGTCACCACAACCATATACACATTTCATAATTAAGGTCCTTAAATTCAGCTACACTAAGTGGGCAAGAGTAGGTCTTACTTTCAAAAGAGAGAAAAATATCTCCAAATAAGGTGATGGCTAGGTAATTGACCAGAATCTTTATGATTCATTCTTTTTCTTCTCTTTTAAAAATACATTTTCAGCACGCAATTTCTCTGTCTCCTGGTAAGTAATTAAAAAAAAAAAAGAAAAGGAAAGGAAAAAAATTAAGGCTCTAATTCTTACAAAAAGAGTTATTCTTCCTGGCATTCATTAAGTGTATATTTCAAATTAAGACTAAATTTTTTAATTTGCAAGCAAGATAACATTAAACAAGAATCTGATTTAACTGATTGAATTATGCTTAGATTAGTAATGACCAAAAAAATTGTTTTTTTAAAATTTGAGAGATAGGGTCTTGCTCTGTCACCTAGGCTTGAGTGCCATAGCATGATCATAGCTCACTGTAGCCTCTAACTCTCCTGGGCTCAAGTGATCCTCCCACCTCAGCCTCCCAGGTAGCTAGGACTTTAGGCCAGTGCCACCATGCCCAGCTAATTTTTTCTTTTCTTTTCTTTTTTTTTTAAAGAAACAGAGTCTGGCTATGTTGCCCAGGGTGGTCTTAAACTTCTGGCCTCAAGCAATCCTCCCGCCTCAGCCTCCCAAGTCACTGGGATTACAGGTGTGAGCCACCACACATGGCTCCAAAATTATTTTGAATTCAGGAAGTTCCCTGAAATAAGCTATTAGCTGATTCACTAATTAAATTTTAATTTAGTTTTAATAAAAGAATAATTTTTAAGCCAGAGTGAATTTATTCAGAATAATTTTCAGAGTTTACCTCAGCAAGTCTGACATTTTCCTTCTTTAGCCGCACTACATACTGAATCTTCTGATGTAGGTTTTGGTGACCTACCAACTTTCCATTTTCCTCAGCGAGATACTCCACCTGCTTCCTTAACATTTCCAACTCCTGTAGGCAAATCAGAAATGAGGGGAAGTCAAAGGAGGGGAAAATAAGAAGCAGTTCTTAATTTTTCTTTTCAAATCACATTATTTCTTGCCTTCCAAGAGCACAGGAAATTAGAGTCCTGAATCCCAGCTTTCATGATCATACACCTCTGTATACACTAAAGCAACTCTAGTAGGACACCCAATCACAGAAATGGGTTTTCACAGAAATGACTTTTAAGCTGATTAGTTCTATTCATTCAAGTGTTCTAAATACACTTAGAAAAAAACAAAAAAACCTGTGAAAAAACCAACAAGCTAATGCACCTGGAATGTTCTCTCCTTTTCTTCATACATTTCTTCCAGCTTTGATCTCAGTTGTTCCTTTTCCTTGAAAGCTTTAGACTCCAAAGTTCTGGTTCTTTCAACTTCCTCAGCCATTCTAAGGCAGTCCGTCTCTCTGTTGTGAAGGGCACTTTGGACTTCTTCCAGGCTATAAGAATAAGTATCACTTTATAGTATGCCAAAAGACCATAATCACAAAATAGCACTAAAGTTAGATATTTGTTCCCCAATCCCAGAATTTTTACTTGAAAGTATCACTAATCTTCGGTCCTCCCCTATTGATGGCAAAAAAAGACAGAAAGTGCTGTATATCAGATATGCTTTTTGTTGTTGTTTTACCCAAGACTTTCATTTTAGAAAAACTCAAATCATTTTTTAAGTAAGAAAATTTAGGCCGGGCACGGTGGCTCACACCTGTAATCCTAGCACTCTGGGAGGCCGAGGCGGGTGGATCGCTCAAGGTCAGGAGTTCAAGACCAGCCTGAGCAAGAGTGAGACCCCATCTCTACTAAAAAAAAAAAAAATAGAAAGAAATGATCTGAACAACTAAAAATATATATATAGAAAATATATATATAGTGGCTGTGAGCTAGGCTGACACCACGACACTCTAGCCGGGGCAACAGAATGAGACTCTGTCTCCAAAAAAAAAAAGAAAATTTAGAATGAAGTTTCTTTTAGATTCATTCCACTTGGAGCAAATGTAATTTAAGTATCATTACAGTCTGCACGGTTTATTCAGTGTCCCATATCTTAGAGTAACCATTTCTGATTTAAAAAACTGGTCCTCGGAGAGTAGGACACTAGTTATTTCTTTGAGGATGTGCTATTCAGAATTAAGATGCTTTATGTAACTATCAATTGAAAAGAAATATAAGAAAAAGGTTATGTAACTATCAACTGAGAAGAAATATAAAAAACAAGGTTACTATTGTTATATAAATTTCACTGACTTTATAAAATTGTCTGAATCCTGTAAGTTTCCCAAAAGGAACAAATGCTTTTTATTTTACATTGCATATGAAATAAATGTAGGTTATTGAAATGATGTAATACACAGAATTTAATACCAGCTAATTTAAGGCCAGCTAATCTCTAGCTGTTGATTACTGTAATACAAAGAATTTAATACACTAAAGGCCAGCTAATTTCTAGGCAAGTTGTTTTCAGACTACACTGTGTGGAACTCAAAAGGACAGGGTAGGGGGAAGGGCACCCATGCTCTCCCAGTTCATTTGGAGCAGCTCTGCATTCGTCTTAGGTACTTTGCTTTTGTTGGATCAAAAGGCTCTGCGGCAGGGCAGATGCTGCAGTTGCTGCCCCAATAGCTAGTCCCCTGCTTCTTCCTTGTTTATAAAAACTCAATTTTATTTGAAGGAGAAAGTGGGGAGAGGAAGCACATTCACTTCCCAAGAGGTAAATATGATGACCTGTCTAAGCTGGGCATAGTCATCTGTATCCCACTGCCAGATACTTGTTTCTCAGCTTGTCCCAAAGGTGTGCCATGTGTGCTTATTCTGGCCGAGAACACGCGCTGATTCTTGGGGTGTTCTGAGAAAAGAAAGCCCCTTGAACCCACCTGACTGCAAGCTGTGACCCTCTTGTGGAGATATGATATTTGGGGCTGCAACAGCCATCTTGTGGCCAAGAATATCAGAAGAATGGGAAGCATCTAGGTCCCTGATGGCATCACTGAGTCAATGCACCTCCAGACTTCTTGTTATGTGAAATTAAACATAACTTGCCTCACTTATATATATGGATAACATAATATTTAAAATCACTGCTGTAGACTGGTTCTTTCAACTTCCTCAGCCATTCTAAGGCAGTCTGTCTCTCTGTTGTGACGGGCACTTTGGACTTCTTCCAGGCTATAAGTATCACTTTATAGTATGTCAAAAGACCATAACCACAAAACAGCACTCAAATTAGATATTTGTTCCCCAAGCCCAGAATTTTTATTTGAAAGTATCACTAATCTTCAGTCCTCCCCTACTGATGGCAAAAAAAGACAGAAAGTGCTGTATATCAGATATGCTTTTTGTTGTTGTTTTACAACAACAAAAAGAAAACAGTGTGCACCATTTGCTGGAATGTGATTCACTTGCCCACAGTGAAGTACAGGCTTCTATACGTTCCAGAGTCAGCACATCACTGCAGACTCTTGGTTACCAGACTGTGAAATACATTACGTGCCAAGTTAAATAGCTTTTACTCTTTTTGTTAGAATATCCTCAAATAGATATTAATTCTAAAATAGCTGCAATTCTACTAACTATCTAGCTGGATTCTCCAAGATGCTGTAAGTGATCTGGGTTTCTGTTCTAGCTTTCCCACCATCCGGCTGGCAGCCAGTCTCTGAATTGCTCATATGTGGATGAAAAGGTTGTTTTCACATGTATACTCTTTGATCTATGAAATAAATGACTCAAAGACCAGGTGACAGATCTTTCACAGATTGGGTGGTCTTTGTCAGCTGATCATTAAAAAGAATTTTTAATGATCCATCAACATGTAATTTTTGACATATTAACTCGGGCAGAGTTTAAAAAATTGGATGACGGTACTGTAACAAAACCCCTTTCGTTGCCATTTACTTACTATGTCAATAAGATTTCTCAGCATTTGCTATAAAAACAGGAAAAAGGAATAGAATTGATACTGAATCCTGTCTCATTCCAGAATTAAGTACAATAAAATAATGAACTAATTGAAGAAAAAAGTATTAGGATAAAATGCATTGAGAAATGCATGTCCACTGAAATTTTCCTAAGTATAATAATTATTGAAAAAAATTTATAATAAATTTAGGATAATTTGATTAATAATAATGAAAATTCAACTGGGAAGAAATATATTAATAACACTTGGAGCCACATGAATAAATTTTTACAAATTACTTTCAGTTTGTGTACATATTTCATTGCTAAGTAGTATGATAGCATAATCAATAAAATTTTTTGGAAAAATAAATTAGGATAAAATTCTGCAGGGTATAGAATGGAAACTCAGTTTCAAGAGAAAAAGGAACAATGGAAAATTCCAGACTTAGGAATCTATTTATGTATTTTTATTTATTTATTTTTTTTTGAGGCAGAGTCTCGCTTTGTTGCCCGGGCTAGGGTGAGTGCCGTGGCATCAGCCTACCTCACAGCAACCTCAAACTCCTGGGCTCAAGCGATCCTTCTGCCTCAGCCTCCCGAGTAGCTGAGACTACAGGCATGCACCACCATGCCCAGCTAATTTTTTCTATATATTTTTAGTTGTCCAATTAATTTCTTTCTATTTTTGGTAGAGACGGGGTCTCGCTCTTGCTCAGGCTGGTTTCGAACTCCTGAGCTCAAAGAATCCGCCCGCCTCGGCCTCCCAGAGAGCTAGGATAACAGGCGTGAGCCACCGCGCCCGGCCTATCATTTTATTTGTTAATAACCAGTTTACTTATTTTGAACTTGGCAGAAAATACTATATACCTTGCTCATCAAAGAATGAAGCAATTTATAAGGTTATATAAATTAATATGGAAACTATATGAATAAATTAAAGAGACCTAAGGTCTGGACCAGAAGACATCAGAGTATTATCTATGGGTCTCAGAGGGCCTCAAGGTTTTAAATCAGAGGAAACCAGAAGCAGAAGTGAAAAGGAAAACCTGGTCAGTTATCTTGTTCTCGTTGTCCATGAGAAGAAAACCTATCAGTTCCTCAAGGGCAGCTAAGCTTTTCCTGACACTTATCTCTTTAAGATTTCTTTTGGAGTGGCTTCACATGAGAAATCCCTTTAGCAAATGTTATTAGGAAAATAATTTTGGAAACATCTGTTATGTTCATATATTACTACAGAAGGAAAGATGTTACCTACTTTGTGAATATAAATTTTTTATCCCTTTAAAGGAGAAAAGGAAACAATTATCAAGAATTTGAATTACAAAATAGTATACTTACTCTGCTTTCATTTTCAGCATTTCTTCAACTATTTTACTCTACAATAAGAAAAAAAAAAAGAAAAAGATGGTTTAGGTTCTTAAATAATACTGCTAAAAAAAAGATTGAAAGGAACCAACCCACTCTCTTTCATGTTAATAAAATCAAACCAGTATCCTTTTCCACAATACCAGCTATATACACATAAAGGAAATACCTATTTACAAGACTTCATGCATGTGCCCTCTCAGGCCTCAAACAGGCCTTCATACTTGCTTCTAAATGGAGAACTGCATGTGAGTATGCTGAGCAGTAGGCTTACCATCGAGCAACAGAGACTAATTCAATTCTCAGCTATGTCTAAATATTGATGGTAAATATCATGCTAAACAATGGGAATGCAGAAAAGACAGGAATTTCAATAGTAAAATGGTTTCTAAAAATATGCATAACCATAAATACTAACTATAAAAGCATTGCTCAGATAATAAACTACTATGTAAAAAAAAAAGTCATACTTTAGCAAGTCTGTCTTTGATAATCTCTTCTTCTTGTTCATTCTTCAGCTGCTGATTGTCTGGAAGATTCTGATCACTACATGGATTAGGAGGAGGGATAGGAAAACAATGTCAAGTATATTCAAGTAGCAATTTCAAAGCTACTATATGCAGCAATGCCAAGTTGTGTAAAGAAAAGGTAACTATGGTGATTGAGTCAAATTAGCACAGTTAATTAAGTGATCAACACATAGGGATGAAATAAGTCACCTCCTCAGAACTCAGGATTCCTCCTAATACAAAAGCGAGATGAGGCTAGGCATGGTGGCTCATGCTTGTAATCCTAGCACTCTGGGAGGCTGAGGTGGGAGGACTGCTCGAGCTCAGGGGTTCAAGACCAGCCTGAGCAAGAGCAAAACCCCCATCTCCACTAGAAATAGAAAAAATTAGCTGGATGTGGTGTCGTGTGCCTGTAGTCCCAGCTACTTGGGAGGCTGAGGCAGGAGGATCACTTGAGTGCAGGAGTTTGAGGTTGCTGTGAGCTAGGCTGAAGCCATGGCACTCTAGCCTGGGCAATAGAGTGAGACTCTGTCTAAAAAAAAAAAAAAAAAAAAAAAAATGGAGGAAAGATCCATACTTGGTCATTTTAACTTATAAAAGAGTATTTATTAACCCAGTTTTCCTTCCTTGCCAAAACCCCAAAAGCAAGATGAGCAAAACTGGGAAATCCAATCAAGCTTGGTTGAAAGTAAACAAAGTCGAAACATAGTTGAGAGGTAACATCCGAAGATCAAACGTGAGCAAAAGGGGGCTGAGAGAAAGGGCCCCAGAACCTAGTAATGAATGCAACCAGCTGGGAGGGAGCATCTTTGAGGATGGGGAGGGCTGCTCTGGCCTCACCTAGCCTGGCTGCTCAGTCTGACTCCCCCTTTGCTTGGATTCCATAGTCAGGTGGCATTTTCTGATGACCACCTTGGCTTCCCATGTATGTGGACACCAGGAAGGGATTCCCTGGACACCAGATATGTCCTCATGGAAAAAGAATGCTCCCATATATAAAGCAAGAAAAATATATTCTGGATGACACATCCATTTCTGTGAGCCTGACTAGGTCAGAATAATAAGCTGAGTTTCTGTGGGCAGCCCCTGGACCAGGAAGACATCACTCCTAGAGAACCTGTCTGAATGCTGTACACTTCTTTAGGAATCTCTCACTGGGAAGTAAAAGACCATTTCTTGAAGGAAAACAGAAGTTACAGTAAAGTTTCTTTTCCTCAACAGATCTAGCAGCCTAGACAAAAATGGTAATGCGACCTTAATGAGGGAAATACACTGGATCATTAAGGAAAGATGTGTTTTCTATGTACTAATTCAAGGATCAATAAACCTTTTCTGTCAAGAACCAGATAGTAAATATTTTAGGCTTTGGGAGCCATATGGTCTCTGCCACAGGTATTCAACTTGGCTATTGCAAAAGCAGCCATAGCAATATTTAAATAAAAGGGCATGACTATGTCTCAACAAAACGTTATTACACAATAGGCCATGGGCTGGATCTGGCCCCTGGGCTGTAGTCTGCCCCTTCTTTTTTTTTTTTTTTTCCACAAAGAAGATTCTGTAGCTCTTCATATAAGGGACGTGAGGCTATAAAATAAAGCTTTTCATTCATTCATTCATTCATTCATTCATTTATTTATTTATTTATGACAGAGTCTCACTTTGTTGCCCGGGCTAGAGTGAGTGCCGTGGCGTTAGCCTAGCTCACAGCAACCTCAGACTCCTGGGCTCAAGCAATCCTCCTGCCTCAGCCTCCCAAGTAGCTGGGACTACAGGCATGTGCCACCATGCCCGGCTAATTTTTTCTATGTATTTTTAGTTGCGATTAATTTCTTCCTATTTTTGGTAGAGACGGGGTCTCGCTCTTGCTCAGGCTGGTCTCGAACTCCTGAGCTCAAACAATCTGCCTGCCTCGGCCTCCCAGAGTGCTAGGATTACAGGCATGAGCCACCGTGCCCGGCCCAAGCTTTTCTTTTTAAAAAGATACTTTTATTCAACATAATGATCAGACTATTATATTTAGCAATTAACAGCATGAGTGCAAAAACAGACAAACAAAAAAACCCAAAATTACATTAAAACCCTTTGTTGGAATGCTTTATACTTTCCACAGACCAGAAACTAAAATAACCTGTTATACCATTAGTTACAAATAGTCCTCAAGTTTTTTGCCCATACATGTGAATATTGTCTAAAACACGTCTTCTTTGTAGAAGCTAAGACCTGCCACCACTGTGCTTGGCTGAGTCCACAAATCTGTTGTAATCTGTAGCTTCCCTGTCACTTCCCTGGCTCTCCTCTCCTGCTAAACTTTGTTTCTTGGCAGTAATTAAAACCTGTCACTGCCACAGCTACTGCTGCTACTGGAACCACCTGTCAACCTGAAAAGAAACTCAGGATCGGCTCTCCAGAACAAATGGGTTTATTTGGGAATAACAGATGGATTGCAATTCCACGGTATGCAAGCTATGGTGGGCCATCAGTGTATCTGGTGGTGGGGGGGGGTGGTTTGGGGCAAAGGGCAAGAGCTTTTAAAGACAAAGAGAAGAATTCCATTGAAAGTTCACCGGTCACAGAAACTCATTGCAGAAATTGGCATTTGCTCATCAGTGGAGACAGCTGTTGCCAGGCAACTGTCCTGGTGCAAGCAGCTTTTCTGAAATACTGTAGGCCTGAGGAATTTCCTGTGATAAGCTCTGTTACAGGGTTCATGCAGGAGTGGAGCATGTGGAACCTGTAGGCGTTTCTTGTGATAAGTATGTTATAGGCATGTGCAGTGAAAGCTGCTTCTTTGTGGTCTTCTGCTTCCATTTTGTCAGGGTTTTGACACAAATGACTCCATTTTGGTGATGGCAACTTCCACATGACTTAGCCCCCTTGGTTTCATGGCTGGTCTGGCAAAGTAGTGGCTGCTACCACCATAGGGGCCAGAGCTTCTGTTTCCAAAGTTTCTTCCCTTCATGAGTCCAAAATTGAAGATTGATTGTTATAATTGCCAATATCATTGTAGCTTCCATCACCTCTAAAATTGCTTCCATCATTACCAAATCCATTGTAGCCATCTCCATTGACACCATATCCACTATCACAACAGCTGCTACCAAAGCCACCACGACCACTGAAGTTTCCTCCATGACCAAAGTTGTCATTCCCACCAAAACCACTTCTACAACCACCTGCAAAGTTTCCACAACCACCCAAACCTCTTTGGCTGAATGAAACACTAGTCATTTCTTTTTTTGACAGGGCTTTCCTTACTTCACGGTTGTAGCCATGCACTTTCTGGTATTTTTGAATGACAATCTTATCCATGGAGTCATGGCTGTAATGTCAAAGGTTATAAAAGTAAAGCTCCTCTTCTTGCCACGGCCTCAGTCAGTCATGATTTCAGTCACCTCAATTTTCCCATGCTATTCAAAATAATCTCTTAGGTGATGTTCTTCAGTGTTTTCTGTAATGCCACCAACAAAAAGATCTTTTTCACAATTAAGTGAGCGCCTGGTCTTTGAGAATCTTCTCTTTAGACAGCCCACTTTGGTTTCACAATTCTTTCGTCCACCTTGTATGGCCTTGATTCATGGCTGCCTCCACCTCTCCACAGTGGCATCGTGACAAAGCCTCTGGAGTGCTTGGTGATTGCATCTCCCACTACCACACAGTCCGTGAGTGTTCCCCATTGCTCAACGTGGCTCCTCACACTCTCTTCCGTTGTTTCAAAGCGCAACTGTCCCATGAAGAGCTTCTGCAGCTATTTGGGCTAAGAGACTCTGACTTAGACATGACAGCAGTGTGAAGAGATACTTTAGTAATGTTTCCTCTGTGGCATCCATGGGCAGATGTGGTAAGCTAACGACATATCTCTGAAATAAAGTATTTCTAATTGTGGTTTTACAAATGATCTAAAAACATTCTATATTCTATGCTCACACTATTGATAAAAGACAGTATTTTTCTTCTGCATACTAAGTATTAAATACAAGGCTTTTCTTTAATATGACTGGACACAGGGGCGGGACATATGGAAACTAGGTGAGCAGACTATGGATTACCTGCATCAGAATCATCCAGAAGCGGGGGGGGGGGGCAAGGGCAACAATATGTAACCTAAACATCTGTACCCCCACAATATGCTGAAATAAAAAAAAAAAAAAAGAATCATCCAGAAGGGGAGGGAGTGCTTATTAAAATGCACATTTCTGGGCTTCAGCTCTACTAAAACAGATCTCTGATACTCACTAAAATCTGAAGAGAACCATTTAGGAAGAGACTGTTAGCATAGCCACCATTACCATCCTCAAATCTCTGTTGTCTCATTTAGCATCTCAAGGATGCTTCTGGACAGGGCTGGGGAGCTGCAGGAGTGGACAAGCTTCTGTCACTTTCTGGCAATGGACAGCAGACACCCCTAATCTGGGAAATGGAATTCGGTAAGGGATTCCATCCCAGAGACTCCCCCTTTAATTCAATTCAACTTTCCACAAAATTTTACTGGCTACTCTGATCTCCAATTCCTCATTCTGAAAGTTAATGATAGGTAGAATCATAATTCTACTTTGTATATTTAATAACTTTTATTGAATGACACCCCTCTACCAAGCACTGTAACTGGCATTTTATAGATGTTATTTTTAATCTTTAAAACACCTTGTGAGGAAATTACCATTTTCCTCATTTTGTTCCTAAGAAAACTGAGAAAATAAGAGGTTAAAAAATATGTCCAAAATCACAAGACTTCTAAGTGTAAGAGATAGGATGTTAAGTCTGGATGTGGTTGCGCCTGACAATATGCTATGCAACTAGCTGATGCCAAAACACACACATAGAGATGCCTAAACCGAAGGGAATGCTTCCCTGTAAAATGCTAAGGATTTCTCCTTGTCTCACACAGGAGCTTTCCCTGGACCATGAGTTATAAGGCAAAGCCAACTGGTAAGAAATTCCCCCCTTTTCTTTTTTTTTTTTTGAGACAGAGTCTCGCTCTGTTGCCCAGGCTAGAGTGCCATGGCGTCAGCCTAGCTCACAGCAATCTCAAACTCCTGGGCTCAAGAGATCCTCCTGCCTCAGCCTCCCGAGTAGCTGGGACTACAGGCATGTGCCACCATGCCTGGCTAATTTTTTCTATATATTTTTAGTTGTCCGGCTAATTTCTTTCTATTTTTAGTAGAGACAGGGTCTCACTCTTGCTCAGGCTGGTCTCAAACTCCTGAGCTCGAGCGATCCTCCTGCCTCGGCCTCCCAGACTGCTAGGATTACAGGCGTGAGCCACCACGCCCGGCCAATTCTCCCCTTTTCTGTAGGGCTTCTTGAATCTTGTCTTGTTGACTTTATTTACTCCTTAAAAAAAAAAAAAAATTTTTTAAAAATGAATTCATTTGGCTCAGGTATTTCACACATTTTAAATTCATTTCAGTAGCTTTACAAGAAATGCAACAGTGCAAAAATTCACTGCAGAGCACTGCAACGGTTAACAGATCAGACAAGATTCAAAATCAACCAATGGAGCAACTCCTGGATTAGTGAGAAACATTCTATTCATTGTGAAACCAATTCCAACCTCATTCATTTATCTATACCAGGCAGGTCAAGATTTAGCCCAGAGTTCTAGTGGCTCTTTCTCACCTATTGTCCTTTTGTCTTTTAATATCATCCAGCTGACCTTGCAGGAGCCAGTTTTTCTCTCTTAACTGCTGAGATTCCAGGCGTAGGTTTTCCATTTCACACAACTGCTCCTGACAACAAATCAAATAATGTCTTTTAAAAAAACACATTATAAAAATTTATGACTAAGACTCCAAAAGTAAATACAGCAACAACAAAAATAAATAAATGGGACTTAATTAAACTAAAAAGTTTCTGCACATCAAAGGAACAATCAACAGAGTAAATAGAAAACCTACAGAATCGGAGAAAATATTCGCAAACTATACATCTAACAAAGTCCTAATATCCCAAATCTACAAAGAACTGAAACAAATCAGCAAGAAAAAACCAAATAACCCGTCAAAAAGTACACGAAAGACATGAACAGATTTTTTTCAAAAGAAGATAGACAAATGGCCAACAAACATATAAAAATATGCTCAACATCATTAATCATCAGGGAAATGCAAATTAAAACTCATAAGGAAAACCCCTATCTGTTACTTGGCACATCAGCCACCTGAGACTCCCACCCCTCCCAGAAGACCCGCATCAGCATAATACTAACTTATTACCTGGCCCATCAACTAATCTACTACCTGGCACATCAGCGTAACACTAAATCTACTACCTGGCGCATCAGCATAACACTATTATCTGACACATCAACAAACCTATTACCTGGCAGGCATTAACCACCTGACCCCCCCAGACCACCACAACTTAATAAAAGCGAGAAAAATCGGGTAGATGGTGCTCAGAAATTGGTGGCGAGGCCCCTCTGAGCCCACTGGCGAATAAACTTTGATTCTCCGACTCTCCGTGTGCCGTTCGGTTTGTCCTCGGGACCACTTGCTGTAACACTTGCTGTAACATTTTGGTTCCCTGACTGGAAATCGAACCGGGCCGCGGGGGTGAGAGCGCCGAATTCTAACCACTAGACCACTAGGGAAGACTGCCGCCAGCTCCTTCTGACCCTATTTAACATGGAAGAACAATGCTGGATTATAGCTGGAACCCAGAGGTGGCTCCAGGACCAGGCTCCAGCAGGGACCTTGGACGTGGAGCAGTGGGCACAGAGAGCAGCACCTGAGACCAGCCCGGATTGGGATTTCAACTCCCCGAGCAGACGAGAGGCACCTGGAAGGTACCAGGAAGCTCTCCTCCACGGGGTCCGGAAGGGAGCCAGAAAACCAATCAGCATGAACAAAGTCACTCTGATCACCCAGAAGCAGGAGGAAAAACAGCAAATTATACAAGCGCCTTTGTGAGGCCTACCAAGTCTATACACCCTTCAACCCAGAGGCGGCTGAAAATCAGCAGATGGTGAATGCCGCATTTGTTGGGCAGTCCTATACTGACATCTGATGGAAACTCCAGAAACTTGACGGGTTTGCAGGAATGAACATCACGCAGCTGATGGAAGTGGCCCAGAAGGTCTATGTTAATCAAGACCACCCAGAGGGAGAATGACAAGAGAATGAAGCAGAAAGCTGCTCTCCTGGCCGCTGCCCTCCGAAGACCTGACCCAGCCAAGAAACCTGGGCCACCATAGGAAGGAGGACCCAGGAGATGAGGGACCCTGAAGCCTGACCACTGCGCCTATTGTAAGGAATTTGGTCACTGGAAGCATGAACGCCCCAATGAAAGAAACCACCCACTGCCAAACAGGAACCTGCCCAGGGGCTTCCAGCAGGAGCTGGAGACCCGGGACCTCATCGATCTCGCTGGGATCGACTCGGAATAGGACTGACTGTGTTCCCTGACTCTTGGCCCCGGGGAGCCCACGGTCGTAATGGAAGTGGGGGGCTGACCAATAATGTTCATGGTGGACACTGGGGCAGAACACTGGGTGGTAACAACCCCGGTGGCTCCACTTACAAAGCGGGAAACCACTATTGTGGGAGCCACTGGAGCTCGAGTAGCTCGACCCTTCTGCCAATCCAAAATATGCCAGATGGGGGGGCCACCAGATAAGACATGAATTCCTATACATACTGGACTGCCCCATTCCCCTCCTAGGTCAAGATCTCCCAAGCAAACTGGAAGCCCAGATCACCTTCCACCTGGAAGGGACCGCAAGCCTCATGCACGACGCCCCAGAGACTCTCATAATGGCGGTCACCCTGCCCCGGGAATCGGAATGGAAGCTATAGGACAAGGCCAAAGAGGAACAGAACCTGCCTGACTTCCGGCAGGATTTTCCGATGGTCTGAGCGGAGGACAACCCCCCCAGCCACGGTCTTGCACACCAACATGCACCCCAGGTGATCAAGATGAAACCGGGAGCCCAACCGACCAGGAGATGACAGTACCCCATCCCCAAGGAGGCTCGAGAGGGAATTCAGGAACACATCGATAGGCTTAAGCGGGAGGGGATTTTGGTGGAGTGCCAATTCCCGTGGAACACTCCCCTCCTGCCAATAAAAAGGCCTAACGGAGGCGGATACCACCCTGTCCAAGACCTGCAACTGATTAATGAGGCTACAGTGACTCTCCACCCAGTGGTACCAAATCCATACACCCCCCTGGGCCTCATTCCTCCTGATGCTGCCTGGTTCTCCTGCCTGGACTTAAAGGATGCCTTCTTCTGCATGCGGCTTGCTCCAAAGAGCCAGCCTCTGTTCGCCTTCGAGTGGGAGGATCCTCAGACTAGAAGGAAAACCCAGCTGACCTGGATGCGACTACCACAGGGATTTAAAAATTCACCAACTCTATTCGGGGAGGCTCTGGCCACCGACCTCATCTCCTTTCCGTGAGAAGAAACCCACTGCACACTTCTACAGTATGTTGATGACCTCCTTCTAGCAAGCCCAACCAGAGGAGGCTGCCACTGGGGAACCCAATGCCTGCTCCAATTGCTCACTGACAAGGGATACAAAGTCTCCTGGAAAAAGGCACAGATCTGTAGGCAACAGGTGAAGTACCTCGGTTTCCACATCACTCAGGGGCGCCGCGGACACTGGGACATGAGCGGAAGCACACCATCTGTACAATTTCCAGGCCAACCAGTTGGAGACAACTCAGAGAATTCCTTGGCGCGGCCGGATTCTGCCGCATCTGGATCCCAAGTTTCTTCCTAAAGGCCAAGCCTTTGTACTAGGCCCTATGCGGGCCTGAAATGAAAGAATTGGAATGGGCCGAGAGTCAGGAAAGGGCTTTCCAGGAAATAAAAGACTTACTAAAAAGAGCCCCCACACTAGGGCTACCGGACCTCACCGAAGACTTTAACCTGTTTGTACATGAGAAGAAACAAGTGGCTCTGGGGGTTTTGACTCAAACTGTGGGCCCGTGGCAGAGACAAGTGGCTTACTTGTAAAAACAATTGGATCCGGTAACGGCAGGATGGCCGCCTTGCCTCTGAGCACTGGCGGCCACCATCCTGCTAGTCAAGGAAGCAGACAACTCACACTGGGACAGAACCTCCGTGGGCAAGTCCGTCATACAGTAACATCTCTAATGAACACCCCAGGGCACCGGTGGCTCTCAAGCAACTGGTTAGCGCAATACCAAGGACTGCTATGCGAAAATCTGCGGGTCACCCTGGAGACTGTGCGAACCTTGAATCCTGCCACCCTCCTACCACGGAGCCAGGGCCCCTGGACCATGATTGCACCAAGGCAGTAGAGGAGGTCTACGCCAGCCGGCCAGATCTGAAAGATAGTCCTCTACCAGCACCGGACTTGGAACTCTACACAGATGGCAGTAGTTTTATCCAGAATGGGAAACAACTGGCAGGCTTCGCAGTCACCACAGTTGATGAGGTCATCATGTCAGCTCCTTTGCCCCAAGGGTGGTCGGCAGAAAGGGTGGAACTATGGGCCCTCATCCAAGCCCTCAGGCATGCCCGGGGTAAGAAGGCAGACATATACATGGACTCTAAATATGCCTTTGCCACAATACATATCCACGGGGCAATATACGGGGAAAGGGGACTGCTGACTGCAGGTGGAAAGGAGATCAAAAATAGGGATGAAATCCTCCAACTGCTGGAGGCAGTTTGGGAGCCAAAAGAAGTTGTAGTCATCCACTGTCAAGGGCACCAAAAAGGCACAGATCCAATTGCCACTGGCACTCGCCTGGCAGACCAAGCAGCCAAAATTGCAGCCACCCGAGAATGTTCAGAGGACAACACTCCAACCCGATGCCAAATCTTGTTGGCACCCATGTGGCCCGAAGAACCAAAATATACCCCAGAAGAGAACCAGTGGGCAGAGCAGGAGAAGGCCAAGAAGGACTCAGACGGTTGGTGGCACCTACAGAACCATAACATCTTTATCCCAATAAATTAGCATACTCTATTGTCTCCCGACATCACAACCTGACTCACTTAGGGAAAACAGCCCTCACGCAGCTACTCACCCGCCCGATACTACTACATCGCCAAACTTCCGTCCATCGCTGCAGCAGTCAGCACCCGCTGCCAGACCTGTGCTAAAAACAATGCAGTGGGGAGGACTAGACTTGCCCCAGGAATTCAGTACACCGGAACCTCTCCGTTCGAGTGTTACAGCAAGATTGACCGGGAACAAACCGAGAGGCACACGGAAGTATAGCAAAACAGGTTATATTACGCCGGCAGGCTCAGAGGGGACTCTCCACCAAATTCTGAGCCCCGAACAAAGAGTGTAGCAGTCTTTTATATATTTTGTTTAGGGAGGGAGTGGGGCACAGTTACAATGAGGTTATCTTTAGCGGGGCAGGGTCTTGAGCCACCTTGGTGCCTGCAAGCAGTTTACAAAGGCAAGAGTGACAGCTGTTAGGGGAGATAGCAGGGGTGGAGACTTGTCAGTGGAATTTTCCACTTCATTCCCCTCCTTTGATGCCCCTATATGTTTACTATGAGGCACTGGCCCTCATTTATTACAGGCATCATTATTTCCTAATAGATGGTAGCCTCATAAGGCCATTATATGAGCTGTTGCTCTTTGGGTTACAGTTATTTCTATGAATTTTATAATTGTGCTTAGTAAGCATGGGCCTATAGTGACAAGGAGGAGTATAGTTATCAATGATCCAGCCAGTAGCAGTAACCATGGGGCCCATTGTCCTAAGTTGAAACCCTATGTTTGTTTTAATTCTTTGTTTC